GAAAGATTGAAGGTGGAAAGGAAACAGAACAAAGGGATGTGGGATGGAATGGGGTCCATGATGACACGAGATGGGTCACTCCGTTTAGGAATCCTTGCTAGAAGGAACAGGTCAGGCATACTGTGCTACTGAATGGAAACCTGAACCATGGGGGTTGTCAGGAAGTGGCAAAGAGGTCCTCAATGCAGGCATCCAGAGCTGAAACAAAACTTCCTCCTCTGGAGAGGAAGATGAATGCAGTCAAGGTCAGCAAAGGTGATGCAGCAAAGGGAGATTTCTGCTGAGGGGCTTGTTTAGGGAGCCCCGCAGTGCAGCACTGACAGCACTGCCAAGTCCCTGGCCTTGCCTCTCTCTCCTGTCGAAAGTGCTCCCTGGGCCCACACAAAACTGAGAGAAATTTCAACAGCACAAGCTCCTGCAGTCTTTCTTAAAGCCTACCCTTTCACTCCCCTGGCAACCGAGACTTCTGCTCATTGTAAGGATGGTCTCTCAAGCAACAAGGTGAGACTCCGGGTCTGTTTGTGCCTTTCTTACATAAACAGCTTTAGTGCCATGCTGTTTGGCAAGATGACGGGTGCCTGCTGATGCCTGCAGGCGCCACCACAGCGCTCCCTCTCAGGAAGGTGTCTCCTTCCTCACACACATACTCAACACCCCCCAGGACCTGCCCACACTTCTGTATTTTCCCTTTGAAGACACGAGTGCTCTGAATATATAACACAGGCTGTCAAAACAGCACTTTTCTGACCCAGAATGCCCTTCCTCTTGACTCATTCCCTCCTGATCAATATTTCTTCCTCCTTTAAATCCTAAATTTGTATAATTCAAAACTTGGCACCGAATGGGTCCTTTGCAACCATCGAAGACACAGGATCAGACACAGCTATTTTTTGAATGAGTTTCTTAGTGATAAAGAATCAGCAGAGGTCACCTTCAGACCTGCCCAGGGCCCTATACATGAGGAAGTCACAATGTCCTGAGGCCCACGGTGTCCTTATCTACAAAAGGAGACAGTAAATAAACCTCTTGTGGAAGAGAGTATCTCCTTCAGTTTGTGAAAAGGATCTCATGACACTCAGCTCTGGAAGACAGTCAACACTGCAGCACAAGCCGGACATGGCAGAGGTGGGGCTGGGCAGTCCTTTGAGGACACCCTGGATTTCCTACCCAAATTTAAGCTTGTTACTTAATAGCCACACATGCCCTGCTCCTTGAACTCTCTCATGTCTGTCAGGGCAAACAACCCAGGCTGGGTGGGCCCGCACAGCCCGGTGCCGACCCTGAGGGTGGCAGCTTGCTCGAGCTGGGCTCCCAACCTGGTCCCAAAACCCCAGCTTTGACAGAGGGTAATTAGAATGGATGGAACTAGGGACATTCACTCCTTCCAGCTACAATACTGTTCCTCAAGCTACGAGCACAGTGCAGTAAGAGAATCTCATAGAGAGGGAGGAGGCCATTACCAGGCAGTTACTATACTTCTCCTCCCCTTTCCATTTCAGTTTGAAAGACTTAAAACTCTACTTCCTGAGCTCCCATTTCATTTATGTATTTTCCCTTTAACTTTTATTGGGGTCATACGTGCAGCATTACGAAAGCAAAGTAATGGAGGAAGATTTAAAATGAAAAGCAACAATCCCTCATTCCCTTTACCTACATCTCAGTCACCACTTTAATCACTTCTTTTAAATCTTCTGGTGGTTTCCACCTTGGCATGAATCACTATCTTTATACTGTTATTCACTGATGTTGAACACATGATTAAATCCTGGCTAGGAAAGAGAAGGGTTTAGGTTACTTACAATTCACCTGACCCATTTCAATTTTAGGTACTTCAATTCTACTTTTTCTTATCCATCACCTCTGAAGTATGGTGTATGTCTAAGAAATGGAGCCGCTGTTGATGCCATCCTCAGGTGAAGAGCCACTCGATTAATCCCATCTGGCTCCTTGCACCACTCCTGCTCACCATGCTGCCCTCTGACTGAGGGTGCATCTCTGGGTACCCACAGTGGCAGGACCCACTGGTCTGGGCTGCTGCTTCCTCTCTGATTATTCCCTTCAGTTGAACATGCATTCGCCGACAGTCTGCTGCTCTCTTCACTTGTGCTCAGTCTATTTTATTGGGGTCTCGGTAGAGGGGGAAAAAGCGATTACCACTGGCCTGCAGTCCTCACCTGGAGATGGGCAGCTGACTCATGAAGCCCTCTGGAACTGGGTCCACTGCCTGAAACGTCCCTCCCAGGCCACCGGTGACCTGCACGTTTACCGCCTTCATGTCTCTTCCTACCCATCTCTGTGACATCTGGATGACCCCTTTCTTGAAATGCTCTGTCACTCTCCACAATGCTGTGCTCCCCGGGCTGCCTGCTGCCTTCCTGGCGGTGTCCTTCAGTCTCATTTCCACACTTTTCTCTGCCCTTAAATATCAGTGATTTCTTAAGGTGCCACTTAAGGTCTCTTTTTTCCTCCTCTAGAAGTTCTCCCTGGTTCTTATGACCAGCACGCTCTGCTAAGCCCTACACTTAGTGTTCAGACAGCCCCTTCCTTGAAGCCTTCCTTTAGCTGGCAAGGCTAGTGGAGATGCTGTGGTGAAGGACCCCATAGCACCTATGGGACTATTCTAGAACCTATCAAACTGCACCATACTACATGCTCATCTATCTGTTTGCTGTTTCCTGAAAGCCCAAGACTCTGTTTATCATCCCTAGCAATTCATCTGGCATGTAGTTGGGGGGTCAGTAAACATGTGTGGGATGCTCTGCATTTAAAATGTCAGTACTGTTAGTAATGGTAAGATCTGAACTTCAAAGAAAAATTTTGCCTGGTAAAGATAAACCTCAAGCTAATTAGAGAAAATCAAATTCTTAATTTATATAATATAAATTAATGATGCTGAATATAAGTTAATGATGCATATTTTCATGTGAAAATGATATCCTCTTCATTCTGTGGCAACTCTTTAGAGACAAAACCAGTATAGATTTCTCCTACTAGAAAAGGCTCACGGGTTCTCCCTGGTGGCGCAGCGGGTTAAAGCACAGTACTAAGAAGCTAAAGCCACTCAGCATGAGTTAGATCCCCGCTTGCCCCCGAGATGACCCACAGGGCAGGGCAAACATCTCCTGGCATGCCCACTGCTCTCCTCAGCAGTGTACTTCATCAGTCGGCCTGTTCTGCTCCCCACTCTGTCTCTGGTGAAGCCTCTCACCGCCCCTGCACCTCTGGCCTGTACGCCAGTTCTGTATGCACAAATGAATAAATCTTTGAGGAAAAAAAAAGGAAAAGAAAAGGCTCACACCTGTGTTCATAGCAGCAATGATCCCAATAGCCAAAAGGTTGAAGCAACCCAAGAGCGAATGAAGCCGTGCACTGATAAACAAAAGGGGGTGTGCACAAACAGTGGAATATTATTCAGCCACAAAGTGGGGAAAAGTCTCAAACATGCTATAATGTGTATGAACCTTGAGGACATATCAGTAAATGCCATAAGCTAATCATAAAAGGAAAAGGTCAACTACTACATAATTTCACTTACATGAAGTAACCTGGAGTAGTCAAACTCATAGAGATAGAAAGTAGAATGGTGGGAAGCGGGGGACAGGAGTGATTATTTAGTGTGCACAGAGCTTTAGCTCTGTGGACAGTGGTGATGGCCACACAACAAAGGGAGTGTAATTATTATTGCTGAGTTGCACACTTATAAAGGGTTAAAATTGGCAAATTTTATAATATGCAGTTTACCTCAATTCAAAATAAAATGAAAAGTGACAGAACCAAAAATACTGTATTTTATTAGACTATTTTCCAAACAAAATTCTATCTTATGTTTCAAATGAAAAATCAATCAAATCCTGGAGAGAGTAAGGAGAGGTATGCAGTTACAAGACACACTATGAGGATTAAAAAAAACAGAACTGGCCCTCCCTGGTGGTACAGCGGGTTAAAGCACAGCACTGAGAAGCTTAAGCCACTTCCGCATGAGTTCGATTCCCGCCTGCCCCAGAGCTGACCCACATGGCGCGGCAGACCTCTCCTGGCCCGCCCGCTGCTCCCCTCAGCAGTGTACTTCATTGATCTGCCTGTTCTGCTCCCCACTCTGTCTCTGGTGAATCCTCTCACCCTCCGCATCTCTGGCCTGTACCCCAGTTCTGTATGCATAAATAAATAAATCTTTAAAAAAAAAAGGGGGGATCACCTTTGCTTTGTTCTTCTCAAAAAGAAGGAATTTAAACAAATGTTGGCAATCATTGATTTTCAAATCACACTAAAGAGGAAACTGGCTTTTTGTTCAGATTGTACGTTAAGTCACAATATTACAGGGATCACATTCAAATGTTCCCATCTTAAAGATCCTAAGAGGTGCCTAGTGAGTACGAGATGTCAGCCAGCACACGAAGTTCACACTACAGCTTGAGGAGCTTCGTTTTTACAAGTAGAGACTGAGAGATGAAAAGACACTGGCGTGTCCTGCCCTGAAGCCCAGATTCCAGCAGTTTCTCCTGCCCCGTCCTGCAGTTTTCTCCAAATTTAATATCTGTCCTCACAAAACCCCCTTGGTGGTGCAAGGGATTAAGGCTCAGCACTATGAAGCTATTGGTAGCCCCTGCAGCCTGAGTTTGATCCCCGGCCAGGAAGCTGACCCACAGGGTGCAGCAGACTTCTCCGGTCTCGCCCGCTGTTCCCCTCAGCAGTGGATTTTAGTTAATCCACCTATTCTGTTCCCCACTCTATCTCTGGTGAATCCTCTCCCTCCTCCCCCACACCTCTGGCCTGTATCCCAATTCTTGATGTATAATTAAATCTTTTTTAAAAATCTATCCCCACATCCCCTCAAAAGAAAACTCTTATTACTGCCAAGAACTAGAGAGATATGTCTTACTTCCAGAGACTTAAAATGATTCCACTTGATACGCTTACCTCAAGAATCAAATTGATACCTGTTATATACTAAGGTATCAAGTTATATTTTTCCTTGTACTATTTCTATGTGAGTACTATACCTTGTTCCAATATCAAGCCAGCTTCCATAATCCTTGACCAAGAAGAAAAAATGCTGCAAAATTAAAAGTTTTCATTAAAAACAAAGATGAGATAGTCTAAAAACAGCACTGTTTTAGGAATATGTTTCAGATTTCTGACTCTATGATCTGACCGGAATCAATGAAAAAATGCTTCTTTCTGAGATTTTCTGCGTATACCAAAAGTCAGAAATAGCATCACTTTCAATGAGATGAACACAAAAGTGAAATTTGTGAATAATTAGAAATCTAAAGCCAAACTAGCCCCAAGGGTAGCTAACAGGAGGGGGCAGACTGGTTGACGATGGGAGGTGACATATGCAGTTGCTGGTCTGACAAACTGTACACCTGTGACCTACACCATGTTGTAAACTAATTTTACTTCAGTAAGAGAAAAATAATAAAATACACTGGACTTAGGGAAAAAAAAAAAAAGGCCTACTTTAAAAAGACACTGATTAATACCAAAGCCCCAGTGAAAAAGAGCCACCTCACCCATTCATCAACAAATATTTACTGACTGCCTACATGTGTTAGGTCCGGGAGAGAAACTCTCAGGAGGTGTATAACCTGGTGAATAATTCAGTCAAATTATCAGGAGCTTGGAGAGATGGAAGAAGTAAGTTTGTGACAGAGAACGACTTATATAAACATCAAGGTTTATGTAATTTTATATAACAACTTATGTAAGTAGGTAGAGCTTGGCAGGGCCAAAGTGAGGCTGGTGTAGAGAACCAAGGAGGAGAGCTGAGAGGGGAGGCCCGTCAAGCTGGCGAAACAAGCTGCGATATCTTTGCAAGGAGAAAGAAAGAAAATTCTTTCTCCTAATGTGTTTCGTTTGTCACTTTGTGAGTCAAACTCAAAGTTGATTCGTTCTACTATTCTACGTGGTCAACGTCACCAAAAGAGTGGCTGGGAAAAGTGTTAACAATGCAAAAGTGCTCTCACCTATATCAGGTGACCAGGAATCTGATTTGGGAACTTAACTGACGCCAGCTGGGGCCTCTGGCCACTCCCAGCATAGGATGTCTATAGCAAAGCACCAAGCCTGTGTGCCGAGGGAAGCTGGGAATGTCATACCCCAGTACGTGCTTGGGTCGTGGGAGCTCAGCCGCCAGGCAGTCCGACAAAGGGACTTACATGGGAGGGTTTGGGCACCTGGGGCCATTTCCTCCTCTAGAAGGTCTGGAGATGAAAGGGCAGCATGGGACCCCCTGGGACAAGCCTGGACACCACGGCCCCATGAGCCTGGCTGGCAGCCTCCACCAGACTGTTACCTGAGCTCTGTGAGGGTCTCGATGTCCTAAAAGACGCCTGGAAGCTATGGTCTGGGACCCTCCTGACTGCTCCCTGCCTCTGCTCTCAGCTGACTTTAATCTGTGTCCTTTCCTGTCTTAACCCATGAATGCAAACAGCTGCGTGTGTTCTGTGAGTCCATCTAGGAGAATGATCAAACCTGAAGGTAGTTCTGAATTTGCAGTTCCTTCTGTTAAACTCTACATACAAGGGGCCAACCTACATGCTCCTCACTTAGAACACACTTAAAATGACAGCTATTGCCTTGATTTGAAAAGCTCGATTTCCTCATTCCTTTCCTTTTTCCTTTGCTTTTCAGTCTGATTAAAGGGTTGAAAATCAACATTTGTAGAAACAAATGATGAATTATCTAAAGTTAGCCTCTGCTGTCAGCTTCCTAGGGCCAGTTCATTTCAGACACTGCACCATGGAAGATTCAGTATAAAATGACAGACCTGTAAAATTAGGTTACCTTAAGAAGAGCATTCTTACTGCATAAGTCTTATAAAAGAAAATAATCTATATGTGTAAATTAGGCCAACACTTACAAGTTAATATCTAAAGATTTCACGTATAGAACTAATTTTTATTTTTGATGAAATTAAATTCAGCACTTAGCTGCTCCATCATATTTATATTTAATATTCATTAACATCTTACCAAAGCCATAATGTCTGATATGACGAGAACCATGAGAAAAAGACTGGGAAAAAAAAAAGAGAAATTATATAGAATACAATAGGCATACTTCTAAAGCACTGAAATCAAAACGAGAATAATTAAACAATTACTCTGTATTTTTGCTTCTGAATATACTACTTTAAACAAAAACTTACTCCCCAAAAAACAAAACTCAAAAAAGGTAACCAAAAAGGTGAAAAATTAATTCAAGGGGAAAAAAAAAAAAAGAAATAAAAGGTTTTTTCGGTCAAGGTTCATGAGAGAGAATTGTTAGCCTAATTATAGAACTGATACATAGAGAGTAACTCAGTATGTATCTCACGTATGCAGGTATATCCAACTCAGACTGATCCTTTCTTAGTGAAGTATGATCATTCAAAACAAATGGGATGTAAGATCCATACAGTAAAATGTGTTAATCAAATTAAGAGCTTGTAGAGAATACAATGGTTCTGCTGAGAGTATGAAGTCCCAAAGTAACAATCTCAATGACTGCTTTGTCCAGCACTAGCTTAGTAGTTCCAGTAACAGAATCTACCCAATTTACACAGCTCCAATTAGCAAACAGTGTGAATCATAATGAGTGACATGCACAAAAAACTCATGATGAGTGAAAAAACACAGTGATTGAAACTGGACCCTACAGATCCAGTTAATGGAATAAAAGAAAAAATAAATACAATTTAAATGTGACAGGCCTTAGCTATCTTTATTAAAGTTTTGCTTGGTATTTTTACATGCTGTTTTTCTAAAATAAATTATTTTTTATAACATGGGTGATGTATGGACACCCCCTAAGAGTGGGAGACAGAAAGGCAGGATTGCTAATGAAATCACTGGACTGCTTACCCCCATGACAGGTGAGACACATAAAACACCTACTTCTCAGTTACTGTTAGAATTTCATTACTTACAGCCAAAAGCATTCCTAATGGATCAACTGTAACCTTCATATTCAGAAACTTCCATTTAGCATATTTTTAGTATACTCAAAATATACAAATCCTTGTTGACACAACCAGTTATCAAGATTGTTATCCTTTTGGCAAACTGATATTTAGAAAAAAATCATTGTGAAGCAATGTAAAACAAAATAATGCTAACACAGTTTTCCTCCTTAACCTTTGTTCAATACTACTCCAGAGATGAGTTTAAAGAAAAGCGAATCCCCGACTGGTTACTCTGAACTTGTCCTTAGCATTACAACTCTAATAAGCAATGAGTCCTTGGCATCACAGACCTAACAATCTAAAAGATTAGTATAAAACATGATGCCAGTGATGATATCAGTGATATTTAGCAAGTGGATTATGGCCGTGAAGGACAGATGAACACAGGCTATGTAATGGATTAGAAAAAGAAAACAGGAGGAGAAGCTGAAGAAAAATGCATTCACTATGAATAGAAAGAAAAGGAATTACTGTGGGCAATGTGTATCATGTATTTGAGGGACTTTGAAGAAGGAATTTAAAGGTTGAGTGGTGAAGAGGAGACTTTCCTAAAGTCTTAACTCTGTTACTTAGCTTAACTTCTCTCCCGTTGCGTTCAGTTTTCCATTGTTATAGTCTTAGAATTCAAATACTACACACACACACACACACACACACACATTTTGATGAACCTTCTACTTTTCTCATTCCACATGTCCCCAGTTCTTATTTAAACCTTAATTAAAATCCTTTCTAAATAAAGGCATTCACTAACAGAGATGTAACAAAGTACACGGTATTTACCAGTTTTCTTTTGCACCTACTATGTACTATTGACAAAGTGTAAATTCTTTCAATGTTAAAGTCATATAAATATCCTGCAACACTATACCAAATTAAACTAAAAATGAGATGTCTGCTATTTTTAAACAGTGGAAGAAAACCTTTTTAGAATTATGGCAATGCATAATGTTAAACTGAATTGTAGTTTAAACTCATCAAGAAGAAAATGCAAATTTATGCTAATATCAGTTATTTCTTTGAGCATGGAATATGCCAATTTGATTCAAGAATAACAAAGCTGCTGAGAAGCTTCAGATTTATTTCAAGTGTTTTTCAGAGCGAGGGATCAGCCCGGAGCTGATAAGGCAATTTTATTGGTTTAATAAAGCTAACAGTGAGTTGACAGCTTCTCTTTCACTCTTCATTGCTAAATTTGGAATTGCTTCAGAAATTCCTCAAAACTCAGAAAGAATACTTCCCATCTCAATTGTTAAATGTGTAGAAACCAAAATTGAGAAACTGTAGATTACTGATATTTAGAATAGTTAATTTCAAGCTTCTTAAAATGAATTAATTTTAATATTATTATATTTGTATAATACAATTTCAGAAATAGACCAAAAGAGAACATTATCACTCATTTTTTTGGCAGCTCAGTTATATCTATAACACACAAGTTACCAGCAAATTAACTGGACATTTATGTTTTACTGTTTTCTAGGAAGCCTCTTCACTAGCCTAAATAATATTCTAGTAACAGTTTATTACTGAGAAAAACATTTGTCTGCTGGAGATTATGATAAACTATTTTCCTCTAATGAAAACTAAACTCTGATTTAAAAGGTGTAACATTTTTTTCATTTTGTAGGACACAATCTATGTTAGTGTCTTAACAATCACATGAAATATCCTCAAATGCGTACTCTTCTTAATAATGGACAAATCTAAAGTGTCTTAAATTCACCTTACACATAAACATTCACCTTAAACACAAACATTCATCTTACCTTTTTGATGATAAGTGGGTGGTCAACTGAACGGCTTCAAAAGCACACATCACAAGAACAAAGGGGATTAAAATCTGTTTAAAGAACAAATGATGTCACGGGTAGCTCAAGTATTTGAAAAGTTTTGAAATAAATACTACTTCTGTCTGTAGAAATCTTTCAATTTCTCAAATAACTTTGAAAAAAAAAAATGAAATAAAACCATGATACAACAGTACTGAAAATAACTTAGAAACAGCACACATGGTATAAAAAAGCAATCAATATCCATTTCCATAGCAAATAAAATCTATTACAAATTTTTGTTCTATTTAATTCATTATAATTAATGACCTTGTTCAAATGATTACAAGTGGCCATGAAAAGCACAGAATGCCAAAATCAAATAAATTATGGAGCCCGATAATTTGATTCTAGATCCCTGAAACCACTGGTTGAGCAGCTTCACCATTGCTTTCTGTTATTTTATTTTAATACAAATTCATTTATTATAAAATTCATACTTAGATTTTATTATAAATTCATGCTTAACTGTAAAAAATTAGAAAAAATAGAGAAAGTTGCAGTAAAATTTCTATTGGTCAAAAATCCATAATTCAGAGCTAATATGGTATTTTGAGATCCTGATTTCCAATGACCATTTTAAATAGACACATGTATGTACATGTGTGTATGTATACGTGATGATATAAGAAAGAGGGGAAGGGAAAGATATAGAAAAGAAATCATTAAGCTGCATAAGATCCTTTTGCAGACAAAAGAATATGTAACTCAAATAGAGGTTAGCAGACACTCACATAGGTCAAAAAAAGTTATTAAGCACATTATGTCAGTAAAGTTCACTGAAATAGGTGGGAGAATAAATATTGGACATTCTAATTTAAACTTCTGTTTGTCTTCCTTTTGCTTGTTTTTAAGGATCCATGGTTTTTAATGGGCCATGAAAAGAACAACCACATTAAAAATGTAAGTAAGATTAAGACCAAGAAAACAATACATACTTTTGTTTAACTGAGATTGTAATTGAATACAGCATTATATTAGTTTCAGGTGTACAATAATGATTCAATTTTTGTATATACTATAAAATGAGAAATGAAGTTTCAAAGTTAATAGAGAATAGAACATGGGAAAATGTTGACTATCTAGCATTTCTTAAAATTACATTTGTATTTGTACAGTAATAAAAATTATTAACTCTAATAAGAGATACATAACCTTTAATAATTACTACTTATGTGATCGGATACAGGCAGTCAGAGTTTAGGCACATATCAGGTACTTTATTCAAACAAACAAAAAATATATTAACGACATAAAATGTGCCAAGGATGTTATGGGAGAGGGAATAAGATGAGCACAAGAAGATTTAAAAAACATGGATCACCTGAACCCCTGAAAAGCTGAGCTTGTGTCATTGTTTTAGTATCCCCAGAACCAGCTGGTACCTGGCATGTTACTGAATGCCAACACTCAATGACATTAGTTGAAAGAATAAATCATTTCTAGGTACATGGATAATGAGAAAAGATATGTTGGCAGTCTTTCAGGCACAGAACACAGTTTGGGGAGCCTCAGAGAAGTGAGAAGCAATGCACTGCTTTTTCCCACAGATTTTAATCTCCTTTGATAGGATTTTCCAGGAGTAACACATGGATCTCACCACTTTTGAAGTTAAATGAATGTAAAAGTAGCAAAAAGATTAACTATATTTTGGAATAACAGCTAGAGGGTTCCACTAGGAGTGAACAGGTTCTGAGGAGCTATCTTCTTTCCCAGCTATGTAACTCTCACATGACCTAGTAGTCTTAATATCACATAATCTCAATGCCACAATTAGTTCACATTCTTAATAAATCAGCTTCTTCATAAAATAAGAAAACCGAACTAACCTTCCACATCATCAAAGCTCCCATCACAAAAGGACTAAACACAGTCACAAAGCGATAGACTGAGGCAAGGTCAAAGCTGAGGAACCAACATACAGAAAAAGGTTTTAGAATTCACATTATAACTTTAGAAGAATGTTCTGCTAAAACAAGGCTTAAGCTAATTTTTGAAATCTACTCCAACTGAAACACAAACATATTTCATATCAAGGAATATTATAAAGTCACTAAAAGGATGGAGTTAGGTATGTTTGTGCTAATACCAACCTCCAAATTATGTCCATCACTGTAAAAAAGCAAGGCATAGAACAAAATTCCAATTTGTAATATTATTTTTGTTATACACATGTTACGTTCATTTAAAATTACCTGTTGACAGAAGCTATATTCCCAGTTCCAAAAAATGCCGTCATTAAGAAGAAAACCTAAATGAAGTTAAGGAAATGCCTCCATGAGTTGGAAGTCATAAAAATTTCCTTCCACTTAGGGAAGATATGCCTATTCTACCATGAGGGCAATCTGCTTTTCACTTGGGCAGGGGATCATAAATTGTAAATGGATGCTTTATGGATGTCCTTGTGACTGCATTTTATTAGAGAACAAGATTGATGAAACAGAGTACTAAGAACAGGCAGGCCTGGGAGGTCACCCTCACTTGTCATCAGGAACCTTGGGAAGTTTACCATTTTCCTCTTCTTAAAATGAACAAGTTGTTTTATTGTATTTGTAGTTGGCTGCTAATGACTTTTTTGAAAGGAGAATGTAGACCTCGTGTGTGTGGAAGACATTTTCAGCTTGAACACTGTTCACGTGTACAAGCTCTATGGCCACTAGATGTGAAGTGTGCTAGGTTTTTTAGAAATCTCATAAAGAAATAAGACGTCATGTTCTAAAACAATTCAATAGAGAATGAGACATAGGAAAATGTTCATCTTTTCTGACATTTCTTAAGCTTATATAAGTGCAGTTATCAAAAGCAACTCTTAATCCTGTTAGTATCTAAGAAATGACTGCAAGCAAAGTACTTAAAATAATGCGTGGCCCAAGGAAAGGGCTCAATAAATGTTAGCTGTTTTGTTATTGTAGATACACACACAAAGGTGGTATAGAAACCCTGAAGAGGAAGTAAGATTCACGACAACTTTCACTGAAAAAGTATCAGTTCACTCAGTGACTTGTGCCTCAATGTATTCACGAATCCATTCATTCAACCATCAACTAATCAATATGTATTGCCTAGTACATGTCAAAGGCAGAAATATGAATTATATAAGTTTTGAACACAGTTTGCATTTTGTGACTAAGATTATGGTATTATGGAGCAGTGCTTGAGGGATGTTTTAAGGGGAACAGTGGGAACATGACATAGTCAAAACACAGTAAACAGGTGTGAGAGAAGTGTATGTTTACTGTCAGATACTCAAGTTGCAGCAGATTGGACTGGAGGCATAATAAGAAAGAGCTTTGAACTTTACTGTAGAGAGAATGAGTGCTTGAACTTGAGTGTGAGGTAATGACAATGAAAATATCACTGAGGTGAATGACATAATCAAGAAATACTGGGGACAGAGATTTGGACAGGAAAACAGATGACTGGAGAAGGGAAATCCAGTTTGGAAGACGTTTCACATAGCCCTTATGCCAGACAAGGTTAAGTCGGAACTGGTGCAGTGGGAGAGGAAGGTGAGCATGAGGGAAGACAGGTGCTCTTGAGAACTGGACAAAGAGCACCTAGACATGACAGGATAGTAAGAGTATGCTGATGCTGGTGGGTATGAGGAAGCCAGCCAGGGTGGCCTGAAGAGGGGCAGGTGGATGTTAGTCAGTTTGGGACAGGTTTGGTGAGGCCCAGCAGGATATTGGGTAGATGGCTTTTAAGGCCGGGAGAGAGGTTAACGCTGGAGGAAGAGATCTCAGAGTGGTTCTCTCTGCTCAGGCTGCACTCCCATGGAGACCAATGAGAGTTCAGCTTCTTTGATTTTAGCTGTGATGTTTTAATTTTTTTAAACATGTGCCTATGTGACTATTTGTTGACATGTCAGGTAGCAGAAATACGTACATGTCTATTTGTTTGTCATTCCATAGTTTCAACACTTTTTCAATGTGTGAATTACGTGAAAGTTATGGCTGAGAAGGGAATTACATGGCCACTAACGCAATACCACTACTAATCACAGACACACTATACAAGTCTTCTTCACTCATGAAATGGGAGACTGTGACTCCTCAAAACAAAATTTCAACAAAGGATACAAGGAAAAAGGCCCTCCTGATGTCATCGAGGCCGAGCTGTCGAAACTGAATTATATCAGGACTGTACGCAAACTGGGTGCTATTGACCTACGAGATAATAAGAAACATATGAAAGCACATTAACAGTTTACTTCTGTCCTCAAAGACAATTTACAGGCTAAGGTACAATAGCTAGAGAGCTAGCCTGTACTGACAAACAAAATAAATAAATGACCAAATGTTTTCCAATAGCTTAATTATTCCTTGATCAAATCTACCAGAAGGTAAAATATATTGCTAATAGCATAGTTCACTGGATTGAAGCTCGGTCTCGTGTGCAATTAAAGTGAAAACCAGGCTTTTTCTTATCTTATATGTATGCTTCACTTTACATCTGATAGAATTCTTCTGTTTTTCACACTGTGAAGGTCTTAGAGACCTTCTCAATATCATTTTCTGATATTTTTTAAAAGCATGGCTAAATTAAATATTTCTTTTTCCTTGTTCCTCTTCTAGTTCTATTTGTAGAATACTTTTCGCTCAATAAAAAAAATCAAAATATTCTATCATTGATAAAATAGTTACTCAATTCCATCGTGACAGGTACAAATTGTTGAGTCCCTCGCCCCCATAATGAGAACAACTCATGGGTGAATAAGGGACTTTCCCAGTGTGATGCTCCAATAACTTTTTTTTTCTCCTAGTAAGCTCCAGAATGCATTAGTATTCTTTTCTAGAAAAAGACTGATGTAATTTCTGCTACAAAAAAAGAAAAAAATTAAGTGCTCTCTTTGGCAGCACACAGACTAAGAAGATTAGCATGGCCCTAGTGCAAGGATAATACACAAATTTGTGAAGTGGTGCTCTTTTGGAATACTACTCAGCTGTGAAAAAGACGAACTCTGCCATTTGCAGCAATTTGGATGGAACTAGAGTGGGTTATGCTAAGTGAAATTGAAGTAAGTCATGAGGAAAGAGAAAAATTCTGTATTATTTCACTAAGATGCATAATACAGTGAAAAAAAAAAAACCAGAGTGAAATAACTGACAAAACTAAAACACAATAAACCTTAGAAATGTGATTGAGGAACTAAGGGTAAAAGAGGGGGAGTGGAAACAAAGGAGGGAGGTGGCTTAATGGTCTAGTAAAGGACTATGGGACCTTGGCTGGTGGGGGTAAGGTGGGAACATGTATCTGAGGATGTGTGCATATTCTTCCTCAAGCCATATACAATGTTCTGGTTCACAGAGGTAAACCACTGTTAACTTCAATAAAGAATAAATAAATAAATACATTTTAAAAATGATACAATGATCCTTATTTAAAATGTATTATTATTTAATATCAAAATATTTCATATTAAGGACAATCTGACCATTTACTTAAATTGGATTAAAACTGTTTTTCATAGATTAATATTTTCTGGCTAAAAGTTAACAACCAGTAATTATTCAATATACTTCAATAAAGTTTCTTTTTAATTGAAATTAATGATTCTAAATTACCAATTACTCCTGCAAACTCAACTAGAACCAGTTAAGGATGGATCAACCATGAAGGTGTTTTTCTGCATTATTCATCTTATTTGACCTCAATAAAGTTATAAATACTCTATCACCAGTTTCTTATAATTACTTCAGTTCTAAAACAAAGGTGAGCGATAGCAATTTAATTCCGTAGCTCTACATGATAACCATGCCTAAAAGGAGGCTGGCTTTTGGTCAAGTGAAAGGACACTGTGTGTAAACAGTCTACGATTTGACTGAGGCTCAAACAGTAGGTGATGGACAGCACTGTGGACAAGGATGACTAAAAAGGAAAAACACAATAAGGACATGTCATCTTATGATCAAATTCATAAATTGATTTGGAACTAAAGAAACATTCTTCCTACTAAAATAAAATGGGGATGGTCCTCCCTAGTGGCGCAGTGGGTTAAAGCACAGCACTGAGAAGCGAAAGCCACTTCCACATAAGTTCGATTCCCACGGCAGACCTCTCCTGACCCGCCCGCTGCTCCCCTCAGCAGTGTACTTCATTGATCTGCCTGTTCTGCTCCCCACTCTGTCTCTGGT